CTCCTTCACAAAGTCCCATGCACATTATGAACTTGCCTGACTGTAAATTTTGCCATTTTGCCAGGCAACCATTACTACTGGTTTATTCATTCTGCAAAACAAAGCAGTGGTAAAATTTTCCTAGTTCAATTCATTATTTTTTTAAAAAAAATTGGGGGATTTTCATGACTGAGTTGGACTAATTTGTCATGTTTTATTTGTAAAAACAGGAACAACACCAAAGGGGAATAGCTAATGGCATTGCTATGACTGGCGTGTCAGTTTTCAACGCAGTTGGCCCTGCTGGAGGGGGTGCAGTGTAAGTTTACTTTTCATTTATTTTTTGAACTTGTCATATGACATATCAAATTTAGTGGGAATTTGTTAGCAAAAGTTCGCTTTGGATCGATTCTGATATGTGATATGTAGTCCTTTGTTATTAAGCATCTACCAATTTCTGTGTGTTGCCTTGGGTCTAAAACAACTTATCTAACTTGTATCTATTTTATATGCTTCTTTAATCCTATTTATAAGGCAAAGAGAGAAGGCTTGTTTTGGTCATATTCATAAGTCATCTCATTAAATTTTTAGTGTGAATGTATTATTTTGTTCTTTATTTATTATAATATAGATAGTTATTTTTTTCAAAGGTATATATATTAAATAAAAGAAAATTTGAAAAGTTGTTATATTTTAAAGAAGAATTAATACAATTTAAGGTTTTTTTGTTGTTGTGTGAAACATGTTAAAAGTGTCCTATAAATAAGATCAGAGGAGTATCAAAGAAAAACAATTGGTGCAAAAAGGAAAAAAATTGTAAGTGTAGATTGGTTAGAGGTTAATGAGACTTTAAAGATAATTTTAATGTTATGAGTTTGTGCATTTAATTTTCATTATTTATCATAAAGTAGAGAGAGAAAGTTTTTCTTAGTGATATTTCTAAGTCATCTCGTTAAATTTTTAGTATAAATGTACTACTTTGTTTTTTATTTATTATGGTGTAGATAGCTATTTTTTTTAAAAGTGTATATATTAAATAAGAGTAAAGTTGAAAAGTTGTTATATTTCAATAAAGAGTTAATACAGTTAAAATTTTTTTTAGTATGTATAAAACATGTTAAAAATGTCTTTATGATAAGATCAGAGGAATATGTAGTTTTTCCGGTGAAAACTATTCAAATGAAATTCCATTAGTGGGCTACGCTTCCTCACATGAACACGTGGATTAATTTTTTTTGTTTTTTGTTTTGTTTTTGCAATGTATAATATTTTAAAGGGTGAAAAGACATCCAGCACCCCAATCTTTTTTTTTTTTTCCAAGAGCACCCACCACCCCAATTTTTTTTTTTTTCAGTATAATTTTACCCACAATCTATTTTTTTTAGTGCAATTTAACCAAGTCCAATGGATCCCTTAACATCTGTTAAGAAATTTTTTTTTATAAGTCTACATCAGCACAGCTAAGAGGATTAAAATTAATAGGTAATACAAAGAAGGGAAAAAACAAACCGAGCTCGTGCACCCACTCTACAGGCACCGAAACCCCACCTGTTTGTGCGATTGGGAACACTAGCATTTGGTGAAGGAGAAGGCAACAAATTCGTGCAAGGAAAGTTGTCTTGATTTGGAAAGGTAACAACCTTACTTTGAAATTTTACTTTTGTTTTCCTTCATACTCCGTCTCTTTTGTTTTAGAGAGCAATTTGACTTTGCAAGCATTGGATCCCTAAATGAATTGCAAATTCCAGCAACAAAGGTCGTGAGGAAGACAGTGAATAAAAAATCTCCATTACTAAGGTAAAATCGATCTTAGCAAGCATTGGAGCCGGTTAGTCAAACATCGAGAATGTGCTCCAATTCTTGAATATAAATTAGAGAATTGGTCTTCTTGAATACATATTTGAGAACTGATCTTCTTGAATACATATTAGACTAGTCTTCTCGAGTACATATTTGAGAATGACATTTGATCTTAGATAGAGACCATAATTGAAAATCCCCGTGAGCATTGTCAAAAGCACACATCCAATTTGGGAGCAAATCTTCTTTGGTTCTTCCTAAAGAAGTGAGAAGGCCGCAAGAAAATTCATCATCCAATGTGACCAGATTTGGCATCACAGCAAAAAGTGAGAAGGCCTTGCATTCTTGACTAACAACTCCATCAGCTCCAATAGCTTGATTTATCATGGTAATCACGGACTAAAAGAGCACAGCCAGATATTTGATCAGCAAAACAAGTTAGTCGCAACCAATGGACAAGAGTTTCTTCTATTTAATGATGTAATGGAGGAACTTAATTATCAAATTACAGAAGCCTAAAAGAATATTGGGAAACTTGATTCCATTTTCATACACAAAACCGATGCCGTGAACATTTAAAATTTCAGATTAACCATACACCTGTATATTAAACACATATAAGGTCATTTTCAAAAAAAAAATGACATAATTCATGGACCAAAAAGGCAACAGCCTTTGTATATCAAAAAATGACAAATGGTCCCATGATACCAAAATATAACAGCGTAAAATTTACATCTTTTGAGACCAAATTCTATATGCCAGCACTTTTTGAGTTAGATGTCTGCAAACTAATCTTCTTTTGTCTTTGGGCTTGTAATTGTGAGGCAGTCAAGCATGGTTGTCCCATCCATTTTAGACCCGGTGGATTGAATGGAAGCTGACTTGATTGTGAGACCATGGCACCATCACTAGTAAGTGCAATTCTCCTCTCTTGGCCTTGTGGAAGGTAGCTCTTCCTTGTATATAACAGCAACTCAAATGTGGTTCCTCGGTCTCACTTGTCTGCCTTACTCTTCAATATATTTCTGAAATTTATGCAAGTGTAAAGATGGAAAAAAAAAAGAAAAAGAAAAGAAGAAGCAACCTTTCATTGAATAAACTCTTATCATTCGAATTCATCATAATATTAATGTAGTTGATCATCCTTATCAAACTACTTTAGAAATTCTTTCAACTATATGAGCCTTACCAATGTGTTGAACTTCATATCTTGTTCCTCGACGAAGCTTCCTTGTCCCTACATTGACGTCAGGGCAATCGACAGTCTCCAGATCATCTTCAGTCACTGACAAATGGACCGCCATATCATCTTTGGCAGCTGACACATCGAACGCCACATCATCTTCATCCCACGCCATATCATCTTCATCCAGCTCCACATCATCTCCTAGGTTCGCATCTCCTGTCATTTTCTGATTATAAAACCCTTTTAGCAAACCCGATTTCAAACATGGGACCATACAAGGAAAACAAAAGTAAGGTTGTTACCTTTCAAAATGAAGACAACTTTCCTCGCACTGATTTGTTGCCTTCTCCTTCACCAGATGCTAGTGTTCCCAATTGCACAAACAGGTGGGCTTCTGGTGCTTGCAAAGCAGGTGCACGGGCTCAGTTTATTTTTTCCCTTCTTTGTATTATCTGTCAATTTTTATCCTCTTAGTCGTGCTAATGTGGACTTATAAAAAAAAATTTCTTAACAGACGTTAGGAGATCTGTTAGAATTGGGTTAAATTGCACTAAAAAAATAGATGGTGAGTAAAATTGTATGAAAAAAAGATTGGGGTGGTAGATGTTTCTAAAAAAAAATTGAGGTGCTAGGTACTTTTTTAATCCTATTTTAAAACTTACCTGTTGTTCACTAATTATTATCTCGGTCAATGCAGACTAAGCTGGTCAGAAAAGCGGTTAGATGCTTCTTTCCTCCCAGGTATGAAGCTTAGCACCGTCTGTGCTGAATCTTTTCATGGTTGTTTGACAATGACAGGCCCAGAAATTTTGAGACGTAGGGTTAACAGATGCATGCATTTATTTTACAGGAACATTAGAATTAATATTATCTAATATTAGGTGATTATCGATATATAAAATTATTCTCCTTCCAGTCGAGTAACACGTAGATCTAAAGGAAACTTCTTGTAAATAGACTGATTCCAAATTCTACACCAAGTCCTCCAAAATTTTGTTAAAGTAGTATATTGTCCTCAGTCCAAGCCCATTAGCAATAGGCCCAATTGTAAATAGCAATATGTGATTTAATATTCTAGAGTCTTCTGTAGCTATTATACAGTACATACGTGGCATTCACTTGTACATTCTAGGGTTTATGACCCTACCTATTTATTGAATACAAAGGCCTGTGAACAGTGCGCCCCCATTAAAATATTTCCTCTTCTCCTAAAAATTAACTTGGTATCAGAGCTGCAAAGGCAAATAGCCATGACAGACTCCAGCTCACAGACTGCAGGAAGCTCCTCGGTGTCCGCGTCATTGATTGCAAAGCTGACTGAGAAAAATAACACCCTGACCCAAAGCTGTTCGGTCAAGCTGGATAGGACAAATTATCCAGTCTGGGTGATTCACGTTCTGCCTATAATCAAGGGGTACAAGCTGGAGGGTTTTATCAATGGCACTAAGAAATGCCCTCCTCAGTTTCTCACTGAAGGAAATGAATCAAAGCTGAATCCAGAGTTTGAAGAATGGGTGTCAGCAGATCAGCTACTATTTGGATGGCTACTCAACACAATGACCTTGGAAGTATCATCCGAGATGACAAATGTTTCAAGCTCAGCAGGACTTTGGGCTGCTGCAAAGCAAATGGCTGGTGCGTGTACTAAATCAACCCTTCTCATGCTTAGATCTGAGCTGCAACGCATCAGGAAAGGAAACATGAGAATGAGTGAATATTTGTCCAAAATGAAAGCCCTGGCAGATCAACTTGCTGTTGCTGGAAGTCCTATGCAACTTCCAGATCTCATCATTCAAGCCCTTGCCGGTCTTGACGCTGAATACAATCCCATTGTGGTTCAGCTTTCTCACCAAGCTGATGATCTGAGCTGGCTTGATATGCAGACCTCGCTGTATACTTATGAGAGCAGAATGGATCAACTCAATCAACTGTCCCAGCTATCTTTAAACTCAACCGTGGTGAACATTGCTAGAGCTGAAGACAACTTTGCTCCACGATACTCTTGGCGTGGAGGCAGAGGAAACCGTAACAGAAGAAGCAGAGGCAGAAGCAACAGAGGCCGTGGACGCTTCAACTACAACAATGATGATGTTCCTCCCAGATGCCAGCTATGTGATAAAGTGGGTCACACAGTGGAGACTTGCTTTCATCGCTATGATAGAAGTTTTGTCAAACCTAGAACCAAGAAAACTGAAGTCAACAAAGGTGCCAGTTCCTATTCTGATTTCGAAAATGCTTATTGGGCAACTCCAGAGACTATTAATGATGATTCCTGGTACATGGATAGTGGAGCAACAAGTCATGTCACTAAGGATCTAGCCAAACTTGATGATTCTGCTACTCCCTCTGGTAAGATGAATATTACTGTTGGTGATGGCTTTAAGCTGAAAGTTGAAAAAAATAGGTTCGGCCAGTGTCCAGAATATTGGTCAAAGGAAGCTTAAACTGAATAATGTTCTTTACACTCCTAAAATCAAAAAGAATCTTCTAAGTGTCTACAAAGTTGCTTGTGACAATGATGCTGATGTGATATTTAACAAACGTGGTGTTTGTGTGAAGGACCAGGAAACAGGGGAAATTATGCTTCAGGGAAAACAGATTGATGGTGGTATGTTCAGAATCTGTGACAAGAAGAAAGATGGGACAGCAGCTCTAGTCTACGTAGCAGAAAAAGAAGCTGAAGATTCAGCATCTAGGATTAAAAATTTTAGTAAAAGTTCTTGGCATTTTAGACTTGGTCATCCTAGCAATAGAATTCTGAACAAGCTTATTAGTGAATGTAATCTAAAAGTTACTTCTGGAAATGAAGATGACTCCTTTTTTTGTGAATCTTGCAAATATGGAAAAATGCATTCTCTACCATTTAAGGTTTCAACCTCCCGTGCATCCAAACTACTAGAGCTTATACATACAGATCTTTGGGGACCAGCCCCACTAGTTTCTATGAATGGTTTTAGATACTACATACTCTTCCTAGATGATTACAGCAGATATACCTGGATTTTTCCCTTGAAATCTAAAGATGAAGCTCTAAATGCATTTACTCAGTTCAAAAATTATGCAGAAAAACAGTTGACAGCAAAATAAAAATAGTGCAAAGTGATTGGGGTGGTGAATATAGAAGTTTCACTACATTGTTGCAAGAATCTGGAATTCACTTTAGGCACTCATGTCCTCACACTTCACCACAAAATGGTAGAGCTGAAAGGAAGCACAGGCATATAGTTGAGACAGGATTAACCTTACTGGCACAGGCAAAAATGCCTCTATTCTACTGGTGGGAGGCATTCCATACAGCAGCAGAATTAATAAACAGGCTACCAACACCTGTTTTAGGAGGAGGCTCACCTTATCTGAGATTATTCTGCAAACTTCCTGATTATGAATCTCTGAAGATATTTGGGTCTGCTTGTTATCCATGTCTTAGACCCTACAACAACCACAAACTGCAATTCAGAACCACTAGATGTGTTTTCATTGGTTACAGTAACTCTCATAAGGGTTACAAATGTCTGGATTCAAATGGAAGAGTGTATATCTCTAGAGATGTTGTTTTTAATGAAAATGAATTTCCTTTCTCTGCAGGATTTACAAATAAAAGAAGGTTACCTGAAGAGATGGTGCATCCGAGGGAATTCTTCAAATCAATTGTCTCCTCCTATCCAGTTGAATGTCAAATTTCAGATTCAGGAAATCAACATAGTGATCCTCAGAATTCAACACTGCCATCACTATCAACTTCTACTCAACCACAATTTGTTGCTGAGGATTCAAGACGCCAGAGCCAGCTTCCAACTCAGTCTTCAAACCCATCCATGTCAGACTCAAACAATCATCAACCATCACCAATCAGACATACAGCAGTAGAAGGAAGTTCATCATCCGACTTCTCCTCACCATCCACCTCTCCTTCTTCAAATGATACAGCTCTAGTTCCAGTGCGACATCCGATGGTAACCAGAAGCAGAATGGGTATTTACAAACCCAAGGAGCCCTATGTTGGTGTTGTCAGTACAGATCCAATTATTCTCAAAGAACCTACATGTGTTGCAAAAGCACTAAAATCAGAAGATTGGAGAAAAGCAATGCTAGATGAGTACAATGCCTTAATCAGAAATAACACATGGAAATTGGTGCCTTATCAAGGACACAGAAAGCTAGTGGATTGCAAATGGGTGTTTAGACTGAAAACAAATACAGATGGCTCAGTTTTCAAACCTAAGGCCAGACTCGTAGCAAAGGGATTTCAACAATGTCCAGGCATAGACTTTGATGAAACTTTCAGTCCTGTTCTAAAGACAGCAACACTACGGTTTGTCCTTACTCTGGCTGTGACTTTCGGTTGGCAAATAAGGCAGCTAGACATCAATAATGCTTTTTTAAATGGAGACTTGCAAGAAAAAGTTCTCATGAAGCAACCTGAGGGGTTTGTGTCAGTAAAATTTCCTAATCATGTGTGCCTTCTAAACAAAGCTCTGTACGGACTGAAGCAAGCACCTAGAGCCTGGTTTGATAAGCTAAAATCTACTCTGCTCTCCTGGGGTTTTAATCATTCAAAGAGTGATACCTCTTTATTCTTTATCAAAGAGAAAAGGTTTGTCATTTTTGTACTGATATACGTTGATGACATTGTTGTGACTGGAAATTCAAATCAAATCCTGGAATTATTCATCAAGCAGCTCAACTCACGCTTTGCCTTAAAGGATTTGGGACAACTACATCATTTTCTTGGAGTAGAGACTTACAGAGATGCTACTGGGCTATACTTAAAACAAGAAAAATATATCATGAATATCCTAGAGAAATTCGGTATGGCAAATTGCTCCCCTGTTCCGACTCCTATGGTGGTAAATAAGCATTACTCAAAATCAGATGGGACTCCATTGAAGAATCCTACACTATATAGACAAGCTATTGGAGCACTACAGTATTTGATCAATACTCGGCCGGATATTACTTTTGCAGTAAACAAATTGAGTCAATTTTTATCTCAACCCACTGATATACATTGGCAGGCGCTCAAGAGAATACTGCGATACCTCAAGGGAACTACCAATCTGGCTTTGCATGTAAAACCCAGTAATCATCTTACCTTGCAAGGTTTCACCGACGCTGATTGGGCTGTATGCCCGGATGATCGTAGATCAATAAGCGGGTACTGTGTATTCCTCGGTGACTCTCTCATCTCTTGGTCAGCTAAGAAGCAGCAAGTCGTAGCTCGGTCAAGCGCTGAATCTGAGTACAGAGCCCTTGCAAATCTTGCAACTGAACTGGCATGGATTCAATCTCTCGTAGGTGAGTTCGGCGTTCGATTGAAGAATCCTCCGATCGCCTGGTGTGATAATTTAAGTGCCTTAGCTCTTGCTTCAAATCCTGTCTATCACGCTCGCACAAAGCACATCGAGCTTGATATACACTATCTGAGAGATCGAGTACTTGATCGAAAATTGCGTGTTCAGTATATTCCTTCCTCTGATCAGTTGGCCGATCTATTTACCAAGGCACTCTCTCCGTCGAAGTTCCTCATGTTCAGAGACAAACTGGGCCTAATAATCTCCCCTAGGCCCAGTTTGAGGGGGAATGTTAAAGTAGTATATTGTCCTCAGTCCAAGCCCATTAGCAATAGGCCCAATTGTAAATAGCAATATGTGATTTAATATTCTAGAGTCTTCTGTAGCTATTATACAGTACATACGTGGCATTCACTTGTACATTCTAGGGTTTATGACCCTACCTATTTATTGAATACAAAGGCCTGTGAACAGTGCGCCCCCATTAAAATATTTCCTCTTCTCCTAAAAATTAACTAATTTAGACCATCCATCTCTTTCTTTTATTTCATATAATTAACTGCGTTATTGTAAGCTCACTTCACTTACTGTGGGGCATTTAAGTGCAGGTCCTCATATGGCATTTTTTGTGCTGAAACTAATAGCAGCGCTTGGAGTTCTGATGATGTTCAAACCATTCCTTGTTGAAAAAGAGAGAACTTCGTCAGAACAATAACAGTCATATCTAACATGTTGGTGCTGAAGTCTGAGGGGATGAAGAAAACCAATCTATTGTTCTCTATGGAATGGCTTATTATTGGAAGTATGGTTCGGTTAATTGCCGTTATGTTGAAACGACCTAGTCATTGTATGCGTTGTTATTATTATAACTATGTTCTTCACATATTTCTATTAAAAATTTCTCTCTTTTTTTTTTGGTAATGTTGTATTCAACCAATTTGGGAATTAAACCTCTGTGTATTACCATAACAACACTATAATATACAAAATTTTCAATAGAAAATATATTGAGCCTTCTGAGAGAGTCAATTTTTCTTTAATTTTTTAAAATTTTTCAGCCTTTATTCTTTTTTTTTTTTTGGTAAAACATATTCTTCTATTGGAGATAATCTTATTCGAGGTGCCGTTGAATACTAAACATGAACACATCTTTTAACAATGATTCAAATCTTGATTTCTCATATTATGAGATACTGTTCTTTTTTTTAGACCCAACTTTTACTATTTTTTCAGCCTTATTCTATTGAAACCAAAACCTAATTGGTTTTCTAAAGGTCATTTCACATCGCGGTTTAATTTTGCGTTCTAACTTAATATTAGTTTCACTTTAATCCAACCAAATTAAGTCATAAAAATGATTTTCTAATTCAAACAAAGTTATTAGCAAGTCTAGATCACAGTCATGCCTACTTCGCTCGGATTCTTTAATCAAAACTTCTAACCACCACTCATTAGGGAAAAAATGATTTTGGTCCTCCAAACTTTCATTTCTATGGCAAAACAAAAGGAAAAAGATGCTAAGAAAAAAATGAGTACCATGTGTTATATGGATAAATAATAAAATAAGATGTATACTTTTTTTTAGAAAAAAGGAATGGACCAGATCTATTTTGAGTATTTTCACTTTTCACATGCCCTTGTCTTTGATTTGGCTACATCGATAAGTTAATATGATCTGGCCAATTGCTAAAGTAAGGGCATCGAGGACATAAAGACAGAGAGTACCTTGTCCTTGAAAGAGATTCAAAAAGGAAAATTAATTATTATGACTTGTGCATATCACATGGATATCTATGATCCTTCATCTCAAAATTCAACCTTTATTTTTTCACCTCTTAATTTTATATTTTTCCCTTTTGTGCTTCCTCAGTTTCTTTTAATAAGAACTTGTAATTGAATTTCTTATGCCTTAAATAATTTATTAAAAGAGAGAATTATAGTGAGGTTCTAAAAAATAATTACTAAAAAATCCTCTTAACAACCTAAACATCTTGTAATAACAAGTTTCAGAATAAAAAGTGACAACTTTTGATATTTGTTTTGTAATTATTTTTCTCCCTTATCATTGTAATTCTCTCTTATTAAAATTATTTTAGTATTAATTTTTTTAAAGAAAAAATTGGTTTGAGATTTCAAAGCTACCGAGCTCCATTAGAAAATGAACAAACGTACATCACTGTCCTAATTATAGGCCTCAGGCTCTTTGCTTGGGGCAAAGGCAGAATTTAATTATGAGGGATGAACGCTAAAAACATATCCCTCTTATTCAAAATATAAGATAAATTTTATTGGAAGAGTTTGATTTTTTTATAAGATAAAATTTACTTTTATCTGAATATTTAATGAGTTTTTTTATTTCATTCCCATATATTTTCTTTCCTCTTTGATTCATCTATTACATTTTTTACTTATTCTCTTTATTGATAAAGGCATATTTGGGAAAAAAAATACATGCCTTACATATTTATTGTTTTAAACTAATTTTAACAAATTTCTTGATAAATATAAATGGATAAAATTTATCTTATATTTTGAACCAGATGAAGTATATTACAGAATTTTTATAAATTATAGGGAAAAAATAATATATGATCTTTATATTTTTCTTGCACAGCACAAAATTACTTAATATAAGGTAGACCAAACACTCATGCTTATGAAAAAGAATGCTTATCATAATCTTGATATTTAAATAGATTTTGAATGCTTCATATTCAAGTTAAAATTTTCAGGTCTTAAATAATTTTTTTATTTAATAGACATAAAATTTAAAATAAAATTAATCCTATAACTAACCCTTTTTTAAAAGAAAATAAATTGATCATTAAAAATTGTAGATTAAAATTTTGAATTTGAAAAGTTTGAATCAAATTTCGTATGATTCAAATTTTACATTGGCACATGTTTATCACTCTCATATGTTTATCATCATGATGATCACTAAATATAGACCTAGGGAGGTCTTAAGAGATATGACTAAAATAATTTTTTCCCCATGAGACTCCTTCTAGTCTAAAATATAAGAAGTTTTATAGAAGAAAATTTTGGTTCAGATTATAAGAGGTTGAATTGAAGAGTTAATTTACAATAATTTTTTACTTTTACTCCTTGTTACAAGGGAGAGAAATGAGAAAATTTTTCAATCACATCCTTTAATAATAGTAAAATAAATAATTCTTATCAATTTAAAATATATTTAATGACTTAACTATGTTTGTAAGAAAACTTAACTAACATCTTATATTATGAATAAGAAAGAATATAATATATTTTGCATATTTTTAATTTTAGAACTCTTTCTTTGTCCATGATGTAACATATTTTATCACAATCCCGACAGTTGGGCCATTTTCCCTCTAAACCTCTTGAAAATTGCAAAAAGAACAATTATGGTTTTAGAAAATCTTAAAATAATATATACTTTTAATAAATAAGGTCAGAAATGAAATATATGGCATGATTTTATATCATTTTAAATAAATAATTAATTTTTATTAGGATGTGTAAAATAGTTGAATATACTCCTATTTATAAGGTAAGGAGAAAAGATATTTTTTGATTCTATTTATAAGACAGTGAGAAAAATTTTCTATATAAATATATAATTTTATCTTTAATTTAGTATTATATTAACTTTGTTTATATAAATATAATATATATTAAATAAGAATAAAATTAAGAAATTATTAAATTTTAAATTAGAGTTAGTAAAACTTAAAATTTTTTTAGTAAAATATTTTGAAAGTGACTCAGAAACAAAGACAGCAAAGGATAGCTACATGAATTGATAAGAAACATAAAGTATTGGATATCATTTTTAAACCCCCGCTTTTTTTTTTTGGCCCCAGGAGACCAATAATACTTTTTCTTTTACATGGTTTAAAAGGAGCATGACCAAGAGCCGGGCCCTGCTTTTTTTTTTTTGGACTCAGAGCCGGGCCCTATTTGATACGTGGCATTAAAGAGATCGGAACTGGTGTCGGCACTGGGATTGCCATCTCGTTGTGTTTGGTAGGAAGTTTTTTTTTTTTTTTTCCCGATCAAGTTGCCCTCTACCCCACCGTCACGCCATCGCCACTCATCTTCATCCCACCGTCTCGCATCTCCTCCTTTCTCTCATCTTATCTTCAGGGGATGTTAAGTTTAGTGAAAAACATTTTTTTATAAATTAGGATAAATTTTTTCACTGTAAAAACATTTTTAAAATTATGATTTTGATTCCATTTAAACATTTTTTAAGTTGCCTTTCACCCTAACGTCGTGTTATCGTCACTCATCTTCACGCCACCATCTTGCATCTCTCCTTCCCTCTCATCTTATGGGGTATTTGGGTTCAATAAAAAGTGTTTTTTAAAAATGTTTTTTCGCAAATCAAGAAGAAATATGTAATTAAGATTCATGATATGCAATAAGGTCTCATATGTAACTAGACATCTACATATACAATTAGAATCACTAATGCGCAACTTTGGATCAATTATATGCAATTAGAATCCATGATATGCAATAAGATATCAACATTCAACAACATGAAATTAGAATCTACACGATATGCAATTAGAATTCATGATATGTAAGTAGGAATTTGTGATATGCAATTAGCATCAATCAGGATAATATGGTCTCTTTCTTACCATATTTACTAGCATTTGAAAGGCCTATATTTTTACATTTGTTGCAGGTCTCATTCCTCAATTAATTTGTACCAATTTTTTCTTTGGAGAAATCCCAAAAAAGTAATTGTTGAAGTTCCAAATCATCAGTACTAGTTACTAAACTCATAAAGAAAATGACTACATTTGAAAAGTAAATAACAACATATTTTTGTAATAATTCCTGATTTGAAATTTTGAAATTTAACAATCATTTTTTTTTTAGATTTTCCCTTTCTCTTTTTTTTTTTTAAAAAAAGAAGTTATATTACTTGATAAAATAATAGAAAAATACTAAATTAAAAAAAAGTAGATCATGTTGATTATGCTGGTAATGATTTCAACTACTCTTGTCTTGTAATGGTTTAGGAGGTCAAAATTTATTCAAACCATCCATTTATCATTTTAAAATTTAATCCGTATTTTTCTTTTATTTTCGTGATTATTTTTTCAGATGCATGTGCATTAGATTGTTGGGGCGCAGTGTCATGATCGCCAGCGACGTCGAGACGGCACCGTGAGCACTACTGGTTGGCTGGTGCTTCTTGCCTTCTTCTATAAATGTTTCTGAAACCTCTCAGGCTAAAATACAAGCTCGTCTCACTCTTCATCATCTTCTTCTTCTTGTTCTCATCTTGTTATCTTTATCTTCCCATGCCCTCCACAAATCTGTGATTTTGAGCGAAGTTACATGTCTGACCTCATCACGTGGTTTGCTACGCAGCCTGTTTAATTTTTTACTCCAGCCTGCACCCTGAAGCTTAGTACTAGCTTGCCTTTTGTATTGCGAAAAAGAAAAGAAGAAGGGAAATTTGTAAGTTGTTCTCCTCCGAGGTTTGAAACGAAGCAAAAAGCTCTCACCTTCGATAGATTTCTCGGGTTCTACTTTATTGGTTCTGTGCTTTCTGAGAATCTCGAGGACAAACAAACATGGCGGCCGACAACAATGATAAGAACGGTTCAAGACAGCCGTTGTTGAAGAATCGCTACCATGAGAACTGCCCAGGATGTAAAGTGGATCAAGACAAGGAAATGCATCGAGGCTTACCGGTAAAGCAGCTTCTCAACGTATGGATGGTGACTCTATGCACCGGTAAGTATAACAATTTGGTTTTCTTGATGTTATTTCAGAAAGTCAGTTTTTTTTGTCAAGTCAAAAGAACAAACTTTTACCAATCGTCTTGTTTTGAAGTACTCGGGTCAATAGTTTCTGAAAACTAAAGCAAAATCGACCTATTTTGATCGGTTCGTTTGCTAATGCTAGCATATCCAACCTTTACTCTTGAGTAATGAGCCAACTTGCCTCACTGTGATCGGTTCATTTACTTTAGAAAGGGACAAAGAAAAAGCTTTCCCTATGATGAATCATTAATTGTTCTTTTTATATTATGGGATAGCAACGTATTATTGTTTTGTTTCTTTACGTTCGATATATCCTTCCAAGCTATTTGCTTGCAATTTCAGTGCTTTTCTAATTCTTCTCTCACTTGAAAAGCCCTTAGTCATATGATGTAATTGTTTTTTTTTTTTGTCCTCTTTCTTTTCCTTTTTTTTTTGTGGCGAATGATTTAGTTCATCAACAGGTTTCAAAACAAACAAAAATGTAATCTATCTAGCTGAGTATTTAACTTTATTGTTTTGTTTCTTGGCTTTGGCTCGGTACAGCACTGCCTGTGTCATGTCTCTTCCCATTTCTTTATTTCATGGTGAGTATATTTTCTTCCCACCTGATTCTGGTCTCTTCCCCATTTATATTAAAAGTCTCATACCTGCAGATTCTTCAGTAATTTTTTCCCATTACGATTCTTCAGTTATTTCTTTATTTCATGGTGAATGTATCTTGTCTCTTTCAACTTGGTGCATTCTTTGATAGCCGCGGATATGGTTGGAGATTTTGGTATGTGGAAGATCTAGATTATTAATTTTAATGTCAATTTTTTCACGTCTTCTTTTTAAGTGGACGTCAATTCTTGAAAGTGACTGCCACTTGATCCACTGTTTGATACACATGACATTAATTGTTTTCCTTTTTTATATTCTAAATTAATAATAATAATAATAATTTCAATTCTAATTTTTTATGATCTAACCGATAGTGCTACTGGAAGTGCTCACTCTTTTTTTAAAAAAGAAAGACCTAACATGCTATTAGAAAGTTTTGAAAGAGGCTGCTTGCTTCAGGATGGGAACAGAAACTAATATACAATTGGTTTGATTAATTAACTAAATTAACTATTTTCAGGTTAATATATTCAATTGGGTTAAGTTGCATCCAGCACTTCGAAATATTTTTTCAGGTGCATCCAACACCTTAAAGTATTTTTTAATGTATTCAGCATCCTAAAATTTTTTTTTAGGTGCTTCTAGTGAAGTATTTTTTAGTGCATTTAACACTTTGAAGTATTTTTTTTAAGTGCGTCTAACACCCAAAAATATTTTTTGATGCATCCAGCACCAAGTAAAAAAAAAATACTTTAGGGTGTCAGATGCACCCAAAAAATATTTTGGGTACTGGATATGCCACAAAATACTTCACGGTACTGAATGTACCTAAAAAAATATTTCGGGATACTAGATGCACCTTAACCCTATTTAATTTTTATAATTATTTGGGCATTTGAATAAATGAATTTGAGTATAAATTAGGGAAAAGTAATTTGGAGGTCCTTATAATTATACTTAATTTTGAATCGAGTCCTTGAATTTTTTTTCCTTTTTATTGGATCCTTTAAGTTTTCATTGTGAGATACATTACTCCCTAAAACTTAAAACTGTTAATTAAAACTAACGCTGTAAAAAATGCCGTTAAAAGTCTAAATCATCTTCTTTTTCGACCTCCTTTCACTGTAAGTCTATGAACCCCAAGCTTTCTCTCTCCTTTTCTTATTCCTCAATATCATCTCCTTCCCCCACTATTAAACGCCTTACCTAGCTAGTCGGCCAACTGAATATCCATCATAAAAAATACATATAACTCATTCATTTCTCATAACATATGACTCATCCTTGTCTCATTCGTTTCTCACAACATAAGACTCATCCATGTCCGATCTAAATGGCACTCACCAACAAATGACTTCTTGTTTACTGGTGCATGCTATTTAGAAATCATCCACAAGGCCTTTTAATCAAATATCTCAGAAAATATACCTAACTCACGCCCAAGTCATTTTTGATGACATTAATTAAATTAATAAGATATCTTGAGAAACCAGTGCATGAACCATATTATTCCTATGTTTCAGCGCAGAGTGCTATTTTGCGATCATATCCATATGAGAACTTTTAATCACTATAGCCCCCAAGTCAAATTTTGGTCAGTTATTGACATCATCCTCAACAAATGAGAAAGAAATACATATAACTCATCCATTTCTCCTTCCCCAAAATGTCTCATCGGATTGTCGAGCTTGCATTATTATATCTCTTCTTTTTCGTCACGGATACCTCCGTCGTAGAAGCAGAGTTGCTGCACCAGTCATGGAATCCGACATGGCTAGGCCCACAGGTGAAGGCATCCTGGTTGACGATGGGTACAATGGTTCAAGTAATAATAGCAGCTATGCAGTAGCAGCTATGCAGTCAAAAATGTCTAGCTCTAATGGCATACATGGTGGGAATGGAACGATGAGGTGTATAATGGCAGGGAAGGAGAGAAAGCTTGGGGGTTTTGGTGGGAGGAAGTCAAAGAAGATGGTGATTCAGACGGAACTTTCAACGATGTTAATTTTAACTTAACAATTTTAGGTTTAGGGAGTAACGCATATAATGGTGGAAATCTAAAGGATCTAATAAAAAAGAAAAAAAACTCAAGGACTTGATTCAAAAGTGAGTATAACTATAAGGACCTCTAAATTAGTTTTCCCTATAAATTATCCTTTTTATCCTAACTTTTTGCCCCTTTATTTCTTAAACTAAGAAATTTATTTTACCTTGTTCTGTTGCATGGTTCGTATTTAATGCTTGCTACAATGTCAACGGAGTTTTTTTCTTTTGAGGCAAAAAATGACGAACTGTGTTACCTTTTTCCTGATTTTTTTTCCATTTCCTTAGAAATAAGGGTGGAAACAGGCCAGGCCAGGCCAGGCTTTACTCTTAACAGGCCAGGCCTGTTTTGTAGCCTATAGGCCTGAGCCTGGCCTGTGGCCTGTTAAAGGCTTATTTTTCAGCCTGAGCCTGACCTGTATAAAGGCCTGGCCTGGCCTGAAGCCTGCTAAAAGCCTGTTTGTTAAAAAAATTCAAATTACAATTTTTTTTAGAAAAAAGCTAAAATAAAAAAAGTATATATAATAATTAATTTTTTTAGTTTTGTCTTTTATTTAAATTTTAGTATCATAGGTACTGTTTTAAATCTTAATTACAATTTATAAGGATATTATTGAAAACTAATTCAAATTATATGTTAAAATTTGGGACAAAACTATGTTTAAGTACCAAAAAAATTAAGACAAATAAATAAAAAAACTATTAATTTTACAATGAATAAAGAGAGTATCATAATTTAATTAATATAATACATAAGTTAATTAATCTATCATTCTTGGAACAAAAATTTTCTTTCCTATTTTATTTATATTTTTAAGATTTAAAGATCATATTATTTATTGATATTTTTATTTTAAATTATATTTTTATTTTTACTTGTCAACTAAACTTCAAAATCTAAGCAAGAACTAAGCTATTAACTATATATTAAAATTAAAAAATAAATTAAAAGTACACATTAACAATACCATTAACTAATTTTTTTATATATTACATTTATAAGTTTCTAACAGGCTCAGGCCGGCCTAACAGGCTTAACAGGCCTTTTAGAGAGCCTAAGCCTGTCTCTTTTGGAAAACAGGCCAGGCCAGGCCAGGCCAAATACAGGCCAGGCTGTAGGCCCCTGACAGGCCGCCTGGCCTGTTTCCACCCCTACTTGAAAACCTACAAGAAAAGGTTTGTGTGCTAGCAGGCAGTCCTTTTCTTGCAGTTTTTTTGTCGCATTCTTTTAATGTCAACTTAATTTTCGGGTTTATTTCTTGAAATTGCCATGGATGGCTCGCAGAGATACATTTGAATCATGTCAAATGGCATATTTTGACATAAATAACAAAGTGGTAGCTTTTGACTTAAATGACGAATATATACGAGTATGGAAAAACTTTTATCCTCATGTGAGAGCCAATCTCTTTTCAGGCTTGCAATAATCTAACTTACCACTCTAACTATGACACAGTATTATTATACCTTCAGTTTTCTCTTTTGTTCCTCAAGAAATAAAATCTTTGTTTAATGTCCGTTTCTATTGCTTAGCTTGTAAGAGCATACAACTAATGATGAATAGAAGATGCGTTATTGATAGTAATCTGCTTGCAGGTAAGAGATTTTGGTGTTGCAAAAACGGAGGCAGATGTCAGTTCCTATGCTGGTTATGTGGGTAAGGTTCTTTTAGACCTTTCATTCTATTATTAGAGGGATTTATGAGCTCTTAAAATACTGATCTTCATCTGAAATATATTATAGGATCTTCATTCATGTTTGGCAGAGCTTTAACATCAATTCCATGGGGAATGTTTGCTGATCGGTATGGTCGAAAAAATGCTATTGTTATAGGTCTTGTGGCAGTGTAAGCACCCCTACATTGTTTTGGATTTCTTTCTAGCTCTATTATTAACAATGGTGAATAGAAAGAGAAATAAAGTTGTGGAAAACTTGTTCTGGGCATGATGAAGAAAAATTAAACACCTCGAAAATTGAAGATTATTTAGTGCATCTTAAAAGTTTGTTTCATTTATTTTCTGTTTTATCTTTTTTTTTTACTTATCATGGACTCCATACAAATAGCCGTCCACTAATAGCATGTTAGGTCTTTCTTTTTTTTTCCCCCCTTGCCTGTTTGTCTAGTCTCCTAACTTCATCCAATTAAAATATATTCTTATATTCTTATATTCTAATAATTAATAATAATTAAATAGAATTTATTATTTATTATATTATTATTATATAGATAGATAAATATATAATATATTATATATAATATAATTTATTATCCCTCTTTTTCTTCCATGATCTCCCTCTTCATCCTCTACTGTTCTACATCAATAAGGTTATGCATATGATTTTGATTCTTATTCAATTTCAGTATTGTGTTTAACACACTATTTGGCCTTAGCACAAGTTATTGGATGGCTGTTAGCACAAGATTTCTTCTTGGAATCTTAAATGGTTCGCTTGGACCAATAAAGGTACCTTTTTTTGATGTATTAGGTAACAATTTAAAATTGAATGAACTGATATTTGGCCTTTCAAAGATCCCCTTTGTCTGTGTTTGGTCCTCCAAATTTACAATGTCTTGTGTTATTCTTCAAGCAATATTCTATCTTCTATGTAATTTTCACACTAAGCCTGTTAATAGATGACTTATGGAGAGGGGCAACATGGTATAACGCAAAACCTGATGTGATTGTTAAATGAGTAATGGTATCTGAAAGTAGGCATATGACAGAGCACCGTACCATTTTGATGCATGGTTAATGGAAACTGCGCATGTAAAGGTTATATTAACTTCATATTTGGCCATATGACCCCTTTCTGTTAGTTATTTGTAACAGTCTTAATGCGATGATGATGTTAAAGATAAAACATATTTTGGTGGACTTAAATGAGATACACTGGCTTTGAGAGATTACCTTGAGATGAAGTGTATTATTCAATGTCTAAATTTTCGGATTCAGTCTTTAACTTTTCATTGAACTGAACCAGTGCTCAATCAGAAGTTTGGATTTGTGTTCTTGAAAGCTAGTCATTCTGTTTATTTTTATTTCTTTTTCTTTAGAAGACTTGTTCTATTTGATTCTAACTTCCACTTACATATCAACTCTGTCACTAGGCTTATGCTACTGAGCTTTTTAGAGAAGAACACCAAGCTTTAGGACTCTCAACTGTGAGTCTAGTCTAGTTTAGTTTACTATTGATTCTTGAAAGTACATGTTCTTTATGATAATTTGATAGTGTCATCTGGTTTCAGTTTAGTTCAGCTTGGGGCATAGCTTTAGTCATTGGCCCAGCACTGGGAGGCTATTTGGCTGAGGTAATTCTGTTGCATGTGTGTGGGAACATGCCCTTCAGCACACTTATCACTTGTTCATCTAAAAATTGAAGAATTTTGGTATTTCAGCCAGTAGAGAAATATCCACATGTATTTCCAAAAGGTTCCTTATTTGATAAGTAAGTATATTTATCCTAGTTTTAAATATTAACAGTAATTTTGAACTTTTAACTTATTTCCTTGTTGATATGCTGATATTCATTTGTCCAAATACAAATGGCCTACAGGTTTCCATACTTCTTGCCCTGCTTTATAATATCAGTCTTTGCACTTGCTGTACTGGTTGCATGTATCTGGCTTCCGGTATGTATAGCCAAAAATTGTGTTTATCCATTAGTGTTATTATGACTGTAATTTCTTTTTAAGGGAATTAATGAAACTATTGAGTTATGTGTTTTTTTTTTTGGTATAAAGCCTCATATTTGTTGCAATTTAGAAATGCATCGATTGTGTTTTGATTTTCTATTTATTTTCTTGAAAATATATACCGTATTTGGGATATAATGTTTTAAACTTCACTATTAAAACTATGAATTGTAAGGCATATAATTTATTGTATTATGTATGTGTGTAACTTTTATCATCTATGGGGTATTGGCTCCACCACTTTTCTTCTCGACAGGTGCCCCGCCAACTTTTCATTGTATACATTCATTATGGATCTTATATTTTCTTATATGACCGCATAATCATTTGAACATTCTCATCTTTGCTACTGCATTTTATTGTTCTTGTGTGTTCAATGCCTAACTTTCACTATCATGCAACATTCCTGATCCTATAACAAACTTCTCTTTAAGCCTAGTAGGTGCATTGCAATAATAAATAACACCTATCTTTCTCCATCTTAACCACACAACTTGTATTCGCGTAATGCCTTGATCAATTTCACTATCATTTTGTTTTATCAACCCTACAAACCTGAACTTTAACAATCGTGGTATGGTCTAATCTCTAGCATTAACCTCTAAATCATTTCTGACTTACCCCTTGTTAAAATTGCAGTATCTATATATTCCCTCATACTCGTGCTTGAATGAAACCCTTCAACTCTAAAGCCTTTCTCCATAACTTAACTATATTGTTAACCTCTTCCTTTGACGGTGCAATAGGAATATATCAGCTGCAAAGAGCATGTACTTGGGGATTTCCTCTTGAATTTGCTCTATTAGAATGTCTAAAACTAGGTCAAACAAGCACTTCAAAATGATTCTTGATGTGGACCAATCCTTATAAAGAAGTCTTTTGTCTCACCACCCCGTGGTCTAATGCTATATGCTGCCCTCTCATACATATCATGTAAAGCCTCAATATATGCAACATAAAAACTTTTCTTTTTGAGGGCTTTCCATAGGCTTTTTTTAGCTCCTTGAAAACCATAGGTAGGTCTCTTTCTTTATTTCGTTACTTTTCCATTAACCCTCCTATAGGAGATAAATAGCTTCTGTTGCAAACCATCCGAGCATAAATCCAAATTAATTATCAAAAATACAAGTCTCATTTCCTAATTTGTGCTGAATCATTCTTTCCCATAATGTCATAGCATGGTTCATAAGCTTTATTCCTTGGAAGGTCGCACTGTTCTAAATATCCCCCTTATACAGTACTAAATTGTTTTTTCTCCATTCTTTTGGCATTTTCTTAAACCTCACAATCTTGTTAGATAACTTAGTCAAGCGAAGAGTACCCTCCTCTCAGACACCTTCACATTTCAGTAGTGGAATACCTTCAGGATCAATGGATTTACCTTTGTCTTTTTTTGGAAAAAAAAAAAAAAAAGGCTCCCTTCAGATATTAAAATTTTTGTTTTCAAAATCTGCAGGAAACGTTGCATAACCACAATGTTGGTAATGAGTTCACTGACGATGCAGAAGCCTTGGAAAAAGGAATCACAGGAAAGACAGTTCAGAAAACTGAAAACCTCCTTCTGAATTGGCCTTTGATGTCATCCATTATTGTTTATTGCATTTTCTCACTGCATGATATGGCTTATACAGAGGTATACTTCTTACTGAAGTATAGATGTTTTATGCGTTTCATATGATATTGTGTTGTTTAGACTTTATTGCTTTCCATCTTGTTATCCCCACCCATATTTATTGATTTTGATCTGACATGTAGCTAAATCGGCAGTAAAAACTGACATTCATCAGAGAGAACAATTTCCCAAGTTTGATCCTTTAAAAATGAAGTGAAATAATTATCAAGTTAATACTCTAAATGATGTTTTCCATCTCTTTAATTCTTAATATTATACATGATATTCTATAGAATCAAAGAAATCTTCTCAAGTACTAAAGTGATATGAAAAAAGTTCATGGAGTATAAAACCAGTAGTGATACCGTCTTTCATCTTATGGGGCCTATAAGTTGTCACTATTTCACTCTTGCAGGTTTTCTCTTTATGGGCCGTCAGTCCTCTAAAGCTAGGGGGTTTGAACTATTCAACCGATGATGTTGGTAATGTTCTTTCAATATCAGGTACGTACTTGATGGCTATGAATTTTAGACAATATTAACCGTGTAAATAACGGTTCCTTCCCAACTGTTCTTCCCCAAATACTAAATGCATAACTTAATTGCATTCGTATAAGGTTTAACCTTGTAAGTTTCAGTTACTTTGATTTAATTTCCAAACACAGGAAGGATTCTGAAGAAGCATTTAATTTTATTCTTTTCTCTGTTGATGAAACTTCCGTTAGGCTTCTTTTATTCTCGAACATAAACATTAATTTCAACCAAAAAAAGAAAGAACATAAACATAACTTGCAGAGGAAGATATGCATTACAAAGTTATAGTGTTTACTTGTTTCCGATGTATTGATATATTTATCGCTTCGAGATCATGTTGGTTAGTACTGACCTTTACTTAACTGGTTAGGTTTTAGTCTGTTGCTCTACCAAATCTTCCTTTACCCAGCTGTGCAGAAAGTTTGTGGACCTGTGAGACTCACTCACATTTCAGCGGTTAGCGCTCCCTTTCATGCAACATTTCAGCGGCTTTTTGGGCATTTTCATTGTTCTTTTTGTGCTTTAAGCCGTATTGTTGTTTTTTTGGATACCATATGCAGGCTATATCCATACCTCTCCTACAAATGTATCCTTTCATAGCATTGTTGCCTGGCTTTGCAATGAACCTATTGATAACTATTGCCTCTGTCCTTAAGTTTTGTCTCTCTGTAAGTCCATCTATTCCTTGATGACTATTGACTGGCATAGAATAATTTTTATGGGTATTTTCAGTCTTTAAAAGTATTTCTCTTAGGAGAATGGCCTCGTAGCCTAGTGGCATGAAAGCTCCCCTGTAAGTGGAAGGTCGTGAGTTCAATCTTACTTGTAACCAGTACATCCCTTCCAATTATCTCAAAAAAAAAAAAAAAGAAAGAAAGAACTTTTCCTTGCAATATGCTGAATGTCTTCGTTAAGTGGCACAAACATTGATACAGAGAGAGTGACATCATAAAAATTTGAAGTGTTCATATGTAATTGCAAATATATTGCAGTGCACATTGTGTATACTTGGTGTTTGTTGGACAAGGACACAAGTCGTCCATGCTTCATATTATTGTCTTACAAACATATTATAATGGAAACTTATGACTTGGATCTTATTGCCCTTTTAAGACCTTATAATGTTTGCATTGTTGTCCCTCTAGTTCATTCATTGTAGCGATTTATTCCTTCCAATGTTAATTAAAGCAGTATTTTTCTTTAAAAATTCAATTAAATCGATTGATAATATAACCAGGCGGGTCAATATTTAAATTCCAATGTCACAAGAACGAGTCTTTAATCGCTTGTATTGTTTAAAGATGGAAGACTGACCCAACTGAAATTGAGGCCTAAATTGTGAGAATAAGGAAACTAGAGGGCTTAGGATGCAGTTAAGCCCATAGATGTAAATACCAAAAGCAGAACACTATCTCCTTCACAAAACCGACATACATTATGAGCTTACCTGATTGTAAATTTTCCTTTTTCAGGCAACCATTATTACTGGTTTCTTTATCCTGCAAAACAGAGCAGTGGTAAAATTTTCTTTGTTCAGTTCATTATTTCTTAATATTTGTCTTTCCCAGTTGTGGGATTTTCATGACTGAGTTGGATTAAAATGGTATTGCTCCATTTTCTTTTTTTTGGGGGGGGGGGGGGGGACAGGAACAACACCAAAGAGGAGCTGCTAATGGTATTGCTATGACTGGCATGTCAATTTCGAAAGCTGTTGGCCCTGCTGGAGGTGGTGCAGTGTAAGATTACTTTTCATTCACCTGTTTAGTTTACTATGACTTTTCAAATTGCCAAATTTGGTTAAAAGTTGTCAACAAAGATTTGCATTGGATCGATATCAATCTGTTATCAATGATCCTTTGTCAGTAGGCATCTACCAATTTTATTATGAGACTGTAAGGATGAGTTTAACTCCACAAAAGTCTTAACATTTGGTTTTCATATATTCCTGAAACTGGTGTATTTTTTTGTCAATTGAAATTCCATTAACTGGTTGTTTTCCCTAGAAAAAAATCTGTAACGCATTTCATATGAACACTGATTATTAATTATAATCCTGTTCAAATGCAGATTAACTTGGTCCCAAAAGCGGGTAAATGCTTCTTTCCTCCCAGGTATGAAACTCAGCTATTTCTGCTGAATTCTGTTTCATGTACCATTAGGAAGGGTAGCAAAAGCGCGTGCGCATGCACAACCTCCAGTTCTTAATATAAGAACTAAATTGGGGTTGAATTTGATCCTAAATATGAGATCTCAATCTACTCTATCTTCCAAATTTATAATTTTTTCCCAAAATAGCTCTATTAAATGTAAGGGATTCTCATCAAAGAATAGTTTTGTCATGCACGATTAAAAAAACCAATTTAGAAAAGCCAAAACATATTTGTTACAAATAACCAATTTAATTAATTTTCTTAATATCTATAAATTAGTTATCTAGCTTCAATATTAAAGACCGAAGATGGTATTTTGTTGGGTCATTAGAACTAATACTATCAAATATTACCACATGCTGGTAAGGCTTTGACTAGGCTGCAGTTTTGCGTGATTACTTTGCTTGTACATCAAAAATGGATTGACTTCTAATTCAACACTAAGTCATGATGCCTGCAAGAAATAGAATATCCATCCCTTTTGTTTCATACCATGAGCTTTATTACTGTATACTCACTGGTCACTAACTGTGGGACATTTAACTACAGGTTCTCATATGGCATTTTTTGTGCTGAACCTAGTAGAAGCACTTGGAGCGGCTATGATGTTCAAACCCTTCCTGGCTGAGAAGGAGGAAACAGCATCAGAGCAGTTAGAATGATTTCAATAACATGCATTTTAAGCTCGTAGATTGATTAAAGCAATCATCATCAGACTTTTTTTTTCCAAGTCTGAAGGGGTATCAGCAGATAATAACACGCTGTTAATGAAGTCTGAGGGGATGAAAAGCAAGCAACAAGATCAGTGAGGCAAAGAACGGAGAAAGAAAGCAAGCAGGAAAAAGAGAAAGATCCATGTGATTTCTTTGGTTAAGAGCAGAGTAATGGTGACTCTCTAGTTATGTTTAGTCATGAATAAAGTCTATTGTTGCATATTTAATGGTTGCTTATTCTATGTGTAATGTTTTGGATAATTGGTGTTTATGTTGAAATAACCTGGTCATTGTACTATTGACATCTATTTTTAATGAAATTTTGCAGCTCAAGTTGGATATGTGCTTTGTCGTAGACTACAGTTATTGTATGAGTGTAACTTAATATGCTAGGTCACAGCTTGAACAGGTGGTTTTTTAATTTAAATTATAATTTATTTAAAAATTAATTTAAATTATAATTTCTTATAATTTTGTATCTCTAGTAGGACATGTGCTTGTCATAGGCTATGGTTGCTGTGGCAGCATTGTTTAACCAAAAGGAAAATTTTATTGCTATTTGAATTCTTTCTTTATTTTATTGAGAGCTGATTTGAACAGTATTTTGAATACAAAAACAGTTTTTTATTTGTTATTTGAAATCCGAAAATTTGAAAACCTTAAATGAGGATGAATTGAATAAATGATGTATTAACCTTTAAAAATTTAATGTTTTAATGAACATCTTTTGCGGTCTTCTTTTATTTGTTAGAATTAAAAATAACAGGAAAAGTTAAAAAAAAAAAACCATTTTTTTTTAAATCAGAGAAGTTTAAGTAAGTTGGGTTTTAGGAACTTACTGGCATTATTAGAACTCACATTCGTGTCATTCTTTTAGAAGGTCATCTTTAATGAATTAAATAGTTATAGCATTTGAAGGTTCTTTCAGAATAATCATAAGTACTTTATCACACAAGGTTTATTTCTGATGTCAGATGCATATTCGGAAAAAGTTGACAGATATATTTCTATTTTCACTCTTTTTTATCAAACTCTCTAAACTCCATCAGCCCTCAACATCCAAATCATCATTTTCGGTCAAACAAACAATCAACCTTATAATAATTAACGGTTGTCGTAGTTCTGCACCGTTTTATATTTTCATGTATAATTTTGTACCCCACATTTGCATAGCGTGTCAGAGACATATTTGATAAAAATCTATAGATATATTTACAGGTCCACCCGGCTGAAAATGTGCCGTTGGATTGTCCGTACAAAAATTAGGCGGGGGTGCGGGGGAGACAGAGAAATTAGGCCCCCCAAAGATTCGCGTCAACCGTCGTATATTTATATGCTGGAAGACAAAGGCAAATAAAAAGTCATTGTCGATGATGACTCATGAAACGCTGAGTTATAACTTGTGATGATTAATTATATAATCAAACCAAGATTATGTTGGTTAGTACTGACCTTTACTTAACTGGTTAGGTTTTAGTCTGTTGCTCTACCAAATCTTCCTTTACCCAGCTGTGCAGAAAGTTTGTGGACCTGTGAGACTCACTCACATTTCAGCGGTTAGCGCTCCCTTTCATGCAACATTTCAGCGGCTTTTTGGGCATTTTCATTGTTCTTTTGTGCTTTAAGCCGTATTGTTGTTTTTTTGGATACCATATGCAGGCTATATCCATACCTCTCCTACAAATGTATCCTTTCATAGCATTGTTACCTGGCTTTGCAATGAACCTATTGATAACTATTGCCTCTGTCCTTAAGTTTTGTCTCTCTGTAAGTGCATTTATTCGTTGATAACTATTGGCTGGCATAGAATAAATTTTATGGGTATTTTCAGTCTTTAAAATTATTTCTCCTTAGCAAATGGCGTCGTAGACTCGTGGCATGAAAGCTCCCCTATAAGTGGAAGGTCGTGGGTTCAATCTTGCTTGTAACCTCAGGCTTAGTACATTCCTTCTAATTACCCAAAAAAAAAAAAAAAGAAAGAAAGAACTTTTCCTTGCAATATGCTGAATGTCTTTGTCAAGTGGCACAAAAATTGATACAGAGAGAGTGACATGATAAAAATTTGAAGTGTTCATATGTAATTGCAAATATATTGCAGTGCACATTGTGTATACGTGGTGTTTGTTGGACAAGGACACAAGTCGTCCATGCTTCCTATTATTGCCTTACAAACATATTATAATGGAAACTTATGACTTGGATCTTATTGCCCTTTTAAGACCTTATAATGTTTGCATTGTTGTCCCTCTAGTTCATTCATTGTAGCGATTTATTCCTTCCAATGTTAATTAAAGCAGTATTTTTCTTTAAAAATTCAATTAAATCGATTGACAATACTAACCAGTCTGGTCGATATTTAAATTCCAATGTCACAAGAACGAGTCTTTAATCGCTTGTATTGTTTAAAGATGGAAGACTGACCCAACTGAAATTGAGGACTAAATTGTGAGAATAAGGAAACTAGAGGGGCTTAGGATGCAGTTAAGCCCATAGATGTAAATACCAAAAACAGAACACTATCTCCTTCACAAAACCGACACACATTATGAGCTTGCCTGATTGTAAATTTTTCCTTTTCAGGCAACCATTATTACTGGTTTCTTTATCCTTCAAAACAGAGCAGTGGTAAAATTTTCTTTGTTCAGTTCATTATTTCTTAATATTTTTCTTTCCCAGTTGTGGGATTTTCATGACTGAGTTGGACTAAAATGGTATTGCTCCATTTGGAAAAACCAAAAAACAGGAACAACAGCAAAGAGGAGCTGCTAATGGTATTGCAATGACTGGCATGTCAATTTCGAAAGCTGTTGGCCCTGCTGGAGGTGGTGCAGTGTAAGATTACTTTTCATTCACCTGTTTAGTTTACTATGACTTTTCAAATTGTCAAATTTGGTTAAAAGTTGTCAACAAAGATTTGCATTGGATCGATATCACTCTGTTATCTGTGATCCTTTGTCAGTAGCATCTACCCATTTTATTACGAGACTGTAAGGATGAGTTTAACTCCAAAAGTCTTCACATTTGGTTTTCATATATTCCTGAAACTGATGTACTTATTTTGTCAATTGAAATTCCATTAACTGGTTGTTTTCCCTAGAAAAAAAAAATCTGTAACTCATTTCATATGAACACTGATTATTAATTATAATCTTGTTCAAATCCAGATTAACTTGGTCCCAAAAGCGGGTAAATGCTTCTTTCCTCCCAGGTATGAAACTCAGCTAATTTGTTTCTGCTGAATTCTGATTCTTATACCATTAGGAAGGGTAGCAAAAACACACACACACACACAACACCTCCGGTTCTTAATATAAGAGTTAATTGAGGGTTGAATTTAGTCCTAAAAATTAGACTTCAATCCACTCTGACTCCCAAATTTATAATTTTTTCCTTAAATATCTCTATTGATTGTAAGGGGTTCTCATCAGGAGATAGTTCTAATGTATGTGATTAAAGAGGGCAGGTTAAGGAAACGAACACATATTTATTACAAATAACCAATTTAACTAATTTTCTTAATATCTTTAAATTAATTATCTAACTTTTATATTAAAGACTAAAGATAGTACTTTGTTGGGTCATTAGAACTAATATGAAAAGCGGATTGACTTCTAATTCAACAATAAGTCATGATGCCTGCAAGAAATAGAATATCCATCCCTTTTGTTTCATACCATGAGCTTTATTACTGTATACTCACTGGTCACTAACTGTGGGACATTTAACTACAGGTTCTCATATGGCATTTTTTGTGCTGAACCTAGTAGAAGCACTTGGAGCGGCTATGATGTTCAAACCCTTCCTGGCTGAGAAGGAGGAAACAGCATCAGAGCAGTTAGAATGATTTCAATAACATGCAGTTTAAGCTCGTAGATTGATTAAAGCAATCATCATCAGACTTTTTTTCCAAGTCTGAAGGGGTATCAGCAGATAATAACATGCTGTTAATGAAGTCTGAGGGGATGAAATGCGAGCAATAAGATCAGTGAGGCAAGAACGGAGAAAGAAAGCAAGCAGGAAAAAGAGAAAGAGAGAAAGATCCATGTGATTTCTTTGGTTAAGAGCAGAGTCATGGTGACTCTCTAGTTATGTTGAGTCATGAATAAAATCTATTGTTGTATATTTAATGGTTGCTTATTCTATGTGTAATGTTTTGGATAATTGTTGTTTATGTTGAAATAACCTGGTCATTGTACTATTGACATCTATTTTGAGTGAAATTTTGCAGCTCAAGTTGGATATGTGCTTTGTCATAGACTACAGTTATTGTATGAGTGTAACTCAATATGCTAGGTCACAGCTTGAACAAGTGTTTTTTTAATTTAAATTATAATTTCTTATAATTTTGTTTCTCTAGTAGGACATGTGCTTGTCATAGGCTATGGGTGCCGTGGCAGTATTGTTTAACCAAAAGGAAAAATTTATTGCTACTTGAATTCTTTCTTTATTTTATTGAGAGCTGATCTGAACAGTATTTTGAAGACAAAACAATTTTTTATTTGTTATTTGAATTCCAAAAATTTGAAAACCTTAAATGAGGATGAATTGAACAAATGATGTATTAACCTTTAAAAATTTAATGTTTTAATGAACATCTTTTGCGGTCTTCTTTTATTTGTTAGAATTAAAAATAACAAGAAATGTTTAAAAAAAATAACACCATTTTTTTTTTGAATCAGAAAAGTTTAAGTGAGTTGGGTGTTAGGAACTTACTGGCATTATTAAAACTCACATTCATGTCATTCTTTTAGAAAATCATCTTTAATGAATTAAATAGTTATAGCATTTGAAGTCTTTTAGAATAATCATAAGTACTTTATCACTCAAGGTTTATTTATGATGTCAGATACATATTCAGAAAAAGTTTATAGATATATTTCTATTTTTATTCTTTTTTATCAAACTCGCTAAACCACATCAGCCCTCAACATCCAAATCATCGTTTTCGGTCAAACAAACAATTAACCTTATAATAATTAACGGTCGTCGTAGTTCTGCAACTTTTTATATTTTCATGTATAATTTTGTACCCCACATTTGCATAGGGTGTCAGAGACATATTTGATAAAAATCTATAGATATATTTACACGTCCACCCGGCTGAAAATGTACCGTTGGATTGTCCGTACAAAAATTAGGCGGGGGTGCGGGATAGACAGAGAAATTAGGCCCCTCAAAGATTCGCGTCACCCGTCCTATATTTATATGCTGGAAGACAAAGGCAAATAAAAAGTCATTGTCGATGATGACTCATGAAACGCTGAGTTGTAACTTGTGATGATTAATTATATAATCAAACCAAGATTATTATGATTATAATTCAGTCGTACACTAATACTAAGAGAATGTTTGGTAACTCTTAAAAATATTTTTAAGAAATACTTTTTTAATTAAATAAGACAAATTCCTCCACATATTTACTTTGTAACCCGTAAAAATAGTTTTAAAATTATTATTTAGTTTTTATCTAAACACTTCCTTATCCAAATCAGTCGGTAGAAGTCATGAATGGATCTCATGACATTTGGCCTAGACAATGCCAAGATCATTCATGAGTCTTCTTTTTATTGTTTATAATTTTTATTTGATAATTGATTGATGTTTGATTCATCATTTCATGTCATTGTCATTGTCCATTCAATAATCAAACTATAAATAATGCGTCGTGTTCATTTTCATGCTTTTGTTTATTTATTGTGGATTTGGTTAAAAGTATAAATTTACTTCTGATTAATTTTTAAGTACACTCAATATTTTGGTATTTTTAATAGTACAATTTTATTCATTTTTTTTACACCCAAAAATTAGGGGTCAAGTTATTAAAAAAAACATACGAGTAAAATTTCACCCAAAAAAATTATGAGTAAAATTACACTGCTAAAATGATTAAATTGTCAGAGGTGACATTGCAAATTTACCTTTTTCTTTCCCTAAAAAAAAAATCATCTTTGATTTTTGTGGCGGCTAAGGACGAAAAAGGGGGAGGCTTGAACTTTCGCCAATGATAAGGTCCCAGCTGCGGGCCTTCCCAATAGATTTTTAGAAGGAAACAAAGTCCAATTTTAATTTCTCTTAGTTCACGGTTTTTGTGTGTTTTACCCCCTCATCGTGCCGTTTCATTGTGGGTGTTGGACAATACTCCTTTGATCATATTTGTAAGATAAAGAGAAAAAATATTTTTTTGTTCTATTTACAGAATATTGAGGGAAATTATTTGTATGCATACATAATTTTATCTTTCATTTATTATTATTGTGTTGGTTTTGTTTACATGAGAAATAATATATATTAAATAGGGATAAAGTTAGAAAGATATTGAATTTTAAATGAGAATTAATAAAATTTAAAGTTTTTTTCTTGTCTGTATAAAATATATTGAAAGTAACTTATAAATAGGATCATGAGAGTAATATCTTTTTATTATTATTTAAATTTAGATTAGGTGACATTATTTTGTCACGCAGTTTTTTCTTTTATACTTTTCACCGGAAAAAAAACCTTAAAAATAAAAAGATTATAATAAAAACACATTACAATATTAGTATTGATAAAGTGACAATAATTTTTGTAAATGACCCACTATATACAATTTTTAAGTTTCAGGATTTCGACAAGATAAGATGCTCAGTTTTTTTATTTATTTATTTAGACAAAAGTACAAATCAGAGAATCTAATTGGTCTTTATTTTTAAAAAAACATAGAAAATATATTTCACCAACAATAAATGCTAATCTCTCACATGGTTATTGAAAATAAATGGCAAACTTTCGGTAATTAATTTCCTACAGACTATATAAAAATTATATTCGAATTTTCATCCATTGATTTAATTAATTTTATTGTTTTTTTATATTGAGATGTGTGAAGAGTGTGTGTGTGTGTGTGTGTGTGTGTTTTTTTTTCTGCCTTTTCTTTAAAATTTAAAAGCCACCCCATGGCCCATGCCTTGTCTAACCCCTCCCCACCTGTTTGTCGCAAGTAGGCATCCTCTCAAATCTGAACGCATATGTACAAAATTGTAAATATCAAATTGTATACAATTTAATATATGTATATATAATCAATTCATGAATTAATCTAATTTATTTTATTTGAATTAGAAATTTAGGAAATTTTTAGTTATGAAAATCTAAGAGTGTTAAAATGGTGTGAAATAAAATGAAGAAAATTTCATAAAACTGTTGAAATTTTTTAAAATTAAAATTAACTTTTTTTACTGTGCTTATAACAAATCAAACTAGAAGGACCTAATTTAAATAAAATAACTTAAAATTGAAATAAATTATAAGAATTCGAAAAATTAATAGAAAATTATTGTTTCTTTTATGTCATTTTGTCCACATATAATAAATCATATGATTTGGCCTAGATAAATAATATAAATAGTTAATTAAAAATGAACAAAAGCAGCCATTACCTTTGGCTGCATGTCCTGTATAAATATACACATATACACACAACCTTCGGTCCTATTTATAAGAGCTAGTTAACTAATTTAAGGAGATTCAAAAAAATTTAAATTAGTTATTTGCAATAAATAGGTTTTATCTTTCTCAAAAAATCTTTATTAATCAAGTGTATTTGTTAGAATTACCATTATTAGAAGGACTATCTTGAAAAAAATATATAGATATAGGAGATAAAGTGGATTGAGGTCTTATATTTAAAACTAAAATAAAAGTTAAATAATATCTTATATTAAGAACCGCGTACAGTATATGATTAACTTTCTACTTGCTTCATTGTTCATCATATTTCTTCCCATTCCGCTTTTGGAAATCTCTCTAATCACTTTGCTCCGGTCCATTCCTCCACTACATTCTCCTTTGGAGCCTTCTGGTTCAGCATCATTTTACATCAAACAGGTTTATCAAATTTAAGTATGTACATCCATGTCAATCTTAATTTAAGCTTTTTTTCCTTTTTTAACGTGTGTATGCAAATTTTCTTTTATGAACAATATAGAAGGTTATTTTTTAGAAAAAAAATCTCAAAAAAATACTTCTAAAATTTCAAAATCTCAAATAAGGAATGACTATAAAGTACACTATTATTTGTTTTCATATATTGTTAATTGTTATTAAAAATTGATATAAAATTTTGAAATTCAAAGTTTTTTTTTTTATAGATTCTCTCTGTTTTTTTTTTTTTGGCATCGGCTTTTGATCAACGGTAAAAAGTCACAAAACTACATTACCAGGCTTACCAGCATACACATCCATCTTAAAATTGACGTCAAAAATGTTCTCTAACCAATATTAATTGACTCTCCTGCTGTAGTGGTGCGTGAAAGAGTATTGTTTTCTCCATTAGTAGAATGCATATTTATGCAATGATAATATATATATATATATATTATGCATATAACGTGATTTTTTTAACGTATTTTATTCTTTTTTATTATATTAGGAGATTACTACATTATGCTATTAGTCAATTAAATTTAACCATCCGTGTTATCATGTATGACAATTATTTATAGTACTACGTTGGGAAGCATATTTGATTCTGGAAAATAATATAAATTCTATGTGTTGTGTAAATAGAATTCAAAGTAAAGAATATGGAAAATTTAAGGGAAAATAGTTTGTTTGGGTAATACTACCTCTGGTCCTAATTATAAGAATTAGTTGACTAATTTGAAGAGATTAAAAAATAATTTAAGTTAGTTATTTATAATAAATAGGTGTTATTTTTCTAAAATATCCTTACTAATCAAATTTATTAGTTAGAACTACATTATTAAAAGGGTTATTTTGAAAAAATATATAAATATGAGAGACAAAGTGGATTAGGTCTTATAATTAGGATCAAAATAAAAGTCAAACGAAATCTTATCTTAAGGACAGGAGGTAGTATATTATTGTAATAATCTGTTTAGTTATCTTGAATTTGAGAGTCTCTTTTTCATTATGGTTGTCATTTATTTTTTTAAAATTTTACTCCTCATTAATTGTATTATCATATTTTTATATATTATTTTTTAATCTTTTTTCTTACCAATTCTATGTCTCGCTTGCATGTCTTTTTCCGCTAGCTATGTCCCATCTATCCCCTTGTAAATAAATGCGCACTCTTGTTATACCACGTATAATTTATCTCAATATGTTTAACACAAATTAAAAAAAAATCTTAAACTTTATTAATTCTATCTTCAAATTTAACAATTTTTTAATTTTATTATATTAAAATATATGCATTTTTAAAAACAATAACAATTTATACAATAATAAATAAAATATAAATAGTAATAGTAATAGTACGTTTATATTTGACTGTAATAACAATTTAATATTTAAT